GAGATAGATGATTATTAAAATTATTCTTGAGTATTACTTTTTAATGTCTCTTATTTGTTAAGAGAAAAGGTCTAATACATTAATGATTAATTTTCAGTAAACCAGTATAAATGTCCATTCTGTGATATGACGAGTCCATCTCCATCCAACATGAGGTTGCACATTAAATATAGACACTCTCAAGACAAACCATTCAAGTGTGACATTTGTACATACAGGTAAGATTGCAACACAAAGTAGAAATTGCTCATAATCCTGCTTCTGTAATTAATGTGTTACTGGGCCATGTAAAAAAATACAAAAACTAGTGATCACCATTTGTCCGTCATATATCCGTTGTCAACTTTTTTATATGTCGAAAAAAAGATTTGGCACATAATGTTATGCACCAGTGGTTGTCTGTCCAGCTGTCTGTTAGCAGTTTTTAAGTCTGTTTCTTTTGAAGTGATGGAAGAAACTAAAACTACTTAGTAGAAATGTTAACCATAATGAGATGATGTGCAGAGCGCATGTTTGACCTTCCTGAGATCAAGGTCACATTTAGTCTTATTATATCCATTTCAAAATTATGTCTCTGCATCTTTTTGAACCGATAGAAAATAATTAAAATTAAAAGTTTTTGGCAGAAAAAAAAAGGTTTTGGCACAAATATTACTTATAATGAGACAGTGTGCAGAACACTGGGGATCAAAATTGGCCCTGTCTTAAGGGATAACTTTATTTATATAGATTAAATAAGGAGTTTTTGTGTCCGGTTTGTATCTTTTGAACAGGTAGAAGGAAATTGAAACTACTTGGCAGAAATGTTAACCATAATGAGACGTACATAGGTGACCTACTGCTATCCGTTTTTGTCTGTCATGCATCGTTTGCCAAGATAACTTTTAAGCTTCTTCTCTGGAACCACTGAACCAATTTCAACCAATTTTGGCATAAAGCATCTATGACTGAAGGAGATGTTGTAATTAGCAAGCTTATATGTAGACCTGGGTTGGTATTGCATTTGGACCCCTTAGGTCAAGGTCTAAAAATAAAGCATCTATTGTTGAAGGGGAACAAAAATTGTGAAATTCATGGGCCCTCGGCCCCCTGGGGCCCGAGAGGTGGGGCTAAAACCATCAAAATTAATGCAATCATTAAAAATCTTTACTCCTCCGCACAAAGCAGTCAAACTGTTGCTATGATTGTAATAAGCATTGAGCCCTCTACCAAAATTGTAAAATTCATGGCCCCAGGGTCAGGGGTTCTGGTGCTAGGACAGGGCCCTGTTGAATATATAGTGAAAGTACATTATTTCTTAAAATATCTTCTCTTGAACTGCTACTGGGTAATTAGGAAACAAAGTAAATGTATAGTTATGTTGAGAGAGGATGTCTGTTCCAAAATTGTGAATTTCACAGCCTTAAGGGTCAGGGATTCTGTCGTTGTTTTTTATGCTCCCCGAAAAATTTCGGGGGAGCATATAGTCGCCGCCTTGTCCGTCCGTCCGTCTTTCCGTTAGTCCGAGCATACGAGAGCTACATTATGAGGTTTAGGTTTATGTACAGGCACTCTGTATGGGGTTCATTCCGTAGAGACATGTATTATGGGGTTAAAAATGCTCTTATGGGGTTTAAAAATTTGCTTTTGTGGGGTTAAGAGATCAAAGGAATAACCCCACAAACACGTCCTGTGAGAACGTCCGTCTTTCCGTCCGTCCGTCTGTCCGTCCGCACTCACAGGAGAGTAATTATGTGGCTAGAGGGACAATAGGTAACTGTTCTTTCTCTTTGATGTCATTCATTCCGTAATGCTTATATGTGGCTATTTTCTTTTGTGTGGCTAAAAAGAACAATAGAGAGAACAATAGAGTAGCCACATAATTACTGTCCTGTAAGAATGTCCGTCCGTCTGTCCGTCCCCTTTTCTTGTCCGGGACATAACTTTGAAACAACAAGAGGTATCAACATGAAACTTTGTAGGTAGATAGATCTCATTGAGTAGGTGTGCAGTGCACAAGAACCGTAACTCTGCCTTGCCTAATTTTTGAATTATCCCCCTTTGTTTATTTTACACTTTGATTTTTGTCCGGGACATAACTCTAAAAGTATAAGAGGTATCAACATGAAACTTTGTAGGTAGATAGATCTCATTGAGTAGGTGTGCAGTGCACAAGAACCGTAACTCTGCCTTGCTTAATTTTTGAATTATTCCCCTTTGTTTACTTTTACACTTTGAACTTTGTCCGGGACATAACTCTAAAAGTATAAGAGGTATCAACATGAAACTTTGTAGGTAGATAGATCTCATTGAGTATGTGTGCAGTGCACAAGAACCGTAACTCTGCCTTGCCTAATTTTTGAATTATTCCCCTTTGTTTATTTTACACTTTGAACTTTGTCCAGGACATAACTCTAAAAGTATAAGAGGTATCAACATGAAACTTTGTAGGTAGATAGATCTCATTGAGTAGGTGTGCAGTGCACAAGAACCGTAACTCTGCCTTGCCTAATTTTTGAATTATTCCCCTTTGTTTATTTTTACACTTTGAACTTTGTCCAGGACATAACTCTAAAACTATAATAGGTATCAACATGAAACTTTGTAGGTAGATAGATCTCATTGAGTAGGTGTGCAGTGAACAAGAACCGTAACTCTGCCTTGCCTAATTTTTGAATAATCCCCCTTTGTTTATTTTTACACTTTGAACTTTGTCCGGGACATAACTCTAAATGTATAAGAGGTATCAACATGAAACTTGGTAGGTAGATAGATCTCATTGAGTAGGTATGCAGTGCACAAAAACCGTAACTGTGCCTTGCCTTATTTTTGAATTATCCCCCTTTGTTTATTTTACACTTTGAACTTTGTCCGGGACATAACTCTAAAACTATAAGTGGTATCAACATGAAACTTTGTAGGTAGAAAGATCTCATTGAGTAGGTGTGCAGTGCACAAGAACTGTAACTCTGCCTTGCCTAATTTTTGAATTATTCCCCTTTGTTTATTTTACACTTTGAACTTTGTCCAGGACATAACTTTCAAACTATAATAGATATCAACATGAAACTTTGTAGGTAGATAGATCTCATTGAGTAGGTGTGCAGTGCACAAGAACCGTAACTCTGCCTTGCCTAATTTTTGAATTATTCCCCTTTGTTTATTTTACACTTTGAACTTTGTCCAGGACATAATTGTAAAACTATAAGAGGTATCAACATGAAACTTTGTAGGTAGATAGATCTCATTGAGTAGGTGTGCAGTGCACAAAAACCGTAACTGTGCCTTGCCTAAATTTTAGTTATCCCCCTTTGTTTATTTTCACACTTAGAACTTTGTCCTGGACATAACTCTAAAAGTATAAGAGGTATCAACATGAAACTTTGTAGGTAGATAGATCTCATTAAGTAGGTTTGCAGTGCACAAGAATTGTAACACTGTCTTGCCTACTTTTGGAGTTATTGCCCTTTGTTCATTTTGACACTTTGAACTTTGTCCGGGACATTACTCTAATATTATAAGAGATATCAACATGAAACTTTGTAGATAGATAGGTCTCATTGGGTGGAAGTGCATTGCTTAAGAATCATTACTCTGCCTTGCCTTATTTTGAAGTTATTGCCCTTTTGTTTATTTTTACTACTGACTTTTGTCAATGCTTAAAGAACCTAAACAAAGCCTGGTCTAATTTTGGAGTTATTGCCCTTTGTTCATTTTTGCACTTTGAATTTTACCCGGGACATAACTCTGATATCATCAGGAAACTTTATAGATAGATAGATCTCATTGAATAGAAGTGCAGTGCAAAAAAACATAACTCCGCCTTGCCTAATTTTGGAGTTTTTGCCCTTTGTTCATTTTTTTATACCTTCCTGTGTCCAGAACCTTCTATGGGAGCATCACCCGGTTCAACCGGTTCTTATTTAGCTTACCTGTTACAAAGTGACATGGTGAGCTTTTGTGATTGCTTTTCCTCTGGCGTCCATCCGTCTTCCGTAAACTTTTACTTTAAACAACATCTCCTCATAAATTGCTAAGCCAATTTCATCCAAACTCCACAGGAATGTTCCTTTGGTGGTCATCTTTAAAAATTGTTCAAAGAATTTAATTCCATGCAGAACTCTTATTGCCATGGCAACCAGAAGAAAAAACTTAAAATATCTCCTTTAAAAATAAACCAAAGAGGTAGAGCTTAGATATTTAGCATGAGACATCTTCTAGTGAGTGTAAAAAAGCCCTTGGGTCAAAATTGGCCCCGCCCAGGGTGATCATTGCTTTTCCTTATATGTATATAGTAAAAACTTAAAAAATCCTCTTATAAAAAACCCAAAAAGCTAGAGCTTAAATATTAAGAATGAAACATCTTCTGGTGAGTGTCTACAAAGTTTGTTCAAATAAAAAACCTGGGATCAAAATTTACCCCGCCAGGGGGGTACTGATTTTCCTTATATGTATATAGTAAAAACTTGAAAAGTCTTCTTTTAAATAACCCATAGAGTTAGAGCTTAGATATTAAGCATGAAACCTCTTCTAGTGAGTGTTTACCAAATTTGTTCAAATAAAAGCCCCAGGATTAAACTGGCCCCGCCCCAGGGTCTGATTTTCCTTACATGTCAATAGTAAAAACTTAAAAAATCTTCTTTTAAAAAACCCAAAGAGCAAGGGCTTAGATATTAACAAATGGATGTCTACAAAGTTTGTTCAAATAAAAGCCCTAGGGTCAAAATTAGCCTGGCCCCAGGGGGTCATTGATTTTCCTTATATATACATGTATAGTTAAAACTTAAAAACTCTTCTTGTGAAAATCTAAAAGAGGTAGAGCTTTGATATTTTGCATAAAACATCTTCTAGTTGATGTCTACCAAGTTTTTTCAAATGAAAACCCTCAGATCAAAATTTGCCTCGCCCCAAGGGTCATTGATTTCCCTTATATGTACTGTAAATCCTGTATTTTTTGCGATGTTTTTATTTTCGCTATTTCTTCTGGGGTGAAAGGGGCTCCACTTAAAGCTTTTGACCTATTTCTCAGCTGAGCGATCCAGGGCCCTGTGGGCTCTCTTGTTTTCTTTTCTTTTTTTTTTGGTGTGTGGGGGGGGGGGGTGCGGCTCAAATAATTATGTAATGAAAATGCATTAATTCTTCAAGCTTGTTCTTCAATTCTTCTTCTTTTAAGCTTCTTCTCTGGAACCACTGAACCAATTCTAACTATTTTTGGCATAAAACATCAATTGCTGAAGGGAAACAAAATTTGTGAAATTCATGGCCCCTGGGTCCTGAGGTGTTGGGCTTAACCCATAAAAGTTACCTTCATGTTTCTGAACGATAACTTGAGTTTGGAATGAGATATTGTAACCAAACTTGGTATGTAGCAACTTTATGTGGGAATACCGGCTTATTATTAAGGTATCAACTTGAAACTTCATAGGTGGATACATCATATTGAGGAGGAATGCAGTGCACAAGAATGATAACTCTACCCTGTATGATTTTTCAGTTATCGCCCTTTGTTATTTTTCAAACTTATTTTTTGCCCAGAGCATAACTCAAAAAGCCTTTGAGATATCAACATGAAACTTCATGGGTGGATAGATCTCACTCAGGAGGTGTGCAGTGCACAAGCATGATAACTCTACCATTAATATTTTTTTAGTTATTGCCCTTTGTTATTTTTCATACTTTTTGTCTGTAGCTTATCTCAAAAATTGTTAGAGGTATATCAACTTGAAACTTCATATGTGGATAGATCATTGAGGAGGAGTGCAGCAAGCAAGAATGATAACCTACCCTGCATTATATTGCAGTTATTGCCCTTTGTTATTTTCAGCCATCGGTATTCACATTGGTTTCAAATCAGTAATAACTTCAGCCATCAGTTTTCATTACCAAAAGACCTCTTTAAATTGAATTATTCTGCTCTACTACATATACATTCTTCCAATCAGCAAACACATTGGGCAAGGGATGGCCATGCTAACATGGCTCTTGTATTGCTTTTGAACCCCCTGGGGTCAAGGTCATTGTAACTAGAAATATAAAAAAAAAAAAAATGGTTTCCGGACAAAAACTAGAGTTAGGAATAATATATTGTATTCAAACTTGGTATTTAGCAAGTTTATATGAAGACATAGGTTGGTATTGCTTTTGGACCCCCAGGGGTTAAGTATGTCATTACTGAAAAGAGAAAAATGATTTCTGGACAACTAGTAGAGTTAAGAATGCTATATGGTGGTCAAACTTGCTATATAACAAACTTATATGAAAACTCGGGTTTAGACCCCCTGGGGTCAAAGTCACCTTTATTAAAAATAGAAAAATTGTTTCCAGATAATAACTAGAGTTAGGAATAAGATCAACCTTGGTATTGAGCAAGCTTATATGTATGTAGACTTCAGTTGGTATTGCATTTGGACCCCTGAGATTAAAGTCTAAAAATAAAGCCGCTTAACATCAATTTAAAGTGGTGGCTGTGACAAAAGTCGCTTAAGGAATGTGGTAGCATGAGCAATTTAGACTGTATATTGACAAGGCAGCATTGTCAATCGCGATTTTTTTCAAAGCATTACCAGATGATCATTTTAAATATTTCTTTTTGCAGATGTAAATCCATGGCTGATCTCAAAAAACACTCAGAAACTCACAACACTGAAGGTCCATATAAATGTGAATTTCTTGATTGCCAATATAAGGCAAAACATTACAAACGTCTTGAAGGTCATTATAGTCGAATGCATCAGGTAAAGTTTATTTTTCTTCAGGTTTCATAAGGTTTTTATACCCCCAAAAACGAAGTTTGGGGGGGTATATAGGAGTCACCCGGTGGTCGGTCGGGCGGTCGGTCGGTCCAGACGTCCGTTGCATTTTCCTTGTCCGGAGCATAACTTGAAAACTAATGGTTGGAATTCAATATAACTACATACAATGGTCAAGCACATTGAGAGGAAGTGCAGTGCACAAGAACCATAACTCTATCTTGACTAATTACAGAGTTATTGCCCTTTGTTACTTTTCCTTGTCCGGGGCATAACTTGAAAACTACTGGTTGGAATTCAAAACAACTTCATACAATTGTCAAACACAATAAGGGGAAGTGCAGTGCACAAGAACCATAACTCTATCTAAAGTAATTACAGAGTTATTGCCCTTTGTTGCTTTTCCATTGCTTTTTTTTTTGTCCGTTGCATTTTCCTTGTCCGGAGCATAACTTGAAGACTAATGGTTGGAATTCAATATAACTACATACAATGGTCAAGCACATTGAGAGGAAGTGCAGTGCATAAGAACCATAACTCCATCTTGACTAATTACAGAGTTATTGCCCTTTGTTACTTTTCCATTGCTTTCTTTTGTCCGGACCATAACTTGAAGACTTATTGTTGGAATTCATTATAACTTCATACAATGGTCAAGCACATTGAGAGGAAGTGCAGTGCATAAGAACCATAACTCCATCTTGACTAATTACAGAGTTACTGCCCTTTGTTACTTTTCCTTGTCCAGAGCATGACTTGAAAACTACTGGTTGGAATTCAAAACAACTTCATACAATGGTCAAGCACAATAAGGGGAAGTGCAGTGCACAAGAACCATAACTCCATCTTGACTAATTACAGAGTTATTGCCCTTTGTTACTTTTCCTTGTCCAGAGCATAACTTGAAAACTACTGTTTGGAATTCAGTACAACTTCATACAGTTGTCAAGGACATTCAAAGGAAGTGCAGTGCACAAGAGCCATAACTCCATTTTGACAAAATACAGAGTTACTGCCCTTTGATACTTTTCCTTGTCCGGAGCATAACTTAAAACGTACTGGTTGGAATTCAAAACAACTTCATACAATGGTCAAGCACAATAAGAGGAAGTGCAGTGCACAAGAACTATAACTCTATCTTCAGTATTTATAGAGTTATTGCCCTTTGTTCTTTTTCTTTGCCTTTCTGGACTTATTACAGAGTAATTCAATTAAACTTCATCAATGGCCAACCACATTGAAAGGAAATGCAACATACATGAACCACAATTATCTTTAATTGCCCACAACCATAACTCTATGTTTCAATTCTTTTACAAGGTATTCTGTTACTAGTAACATCCTCATTTCCGAAGCAGACTTGTGGGGGTATTAATCACATTTAGTGATAGTTCTAGTTTTCATTTGAATAATCATTGCATGATTAATTATTTTAAAAGCCCTGGGGTCAAAATTGGCCCTGCCCAAGGGGGTCATTGATTTTTCTGTCACCTCTACAGAGTATTGGTGATATATAGGGATCACTTCTCTGTTGTCTGTCTGTCTGTCTGCACAACTGGATAAGGATAAGGGGCCACCTAACTGTAAACAGAACAAAAGAGAACAATAGAGTAAATTCTGTAACTACAGAGTATGCGGCCATTGGCCCTCTATTAACAAAGGAAAAAAAACAAAAAAAATGGCCCATTATCCTATTTCTGCCAGACGTCTGTCTGTCTATCACAAAACTTGTCCGGACTACTCCTCAGAAACTACAGGTGCGATTTCTTCCAAACTTTGCAGAAATGATAACTACTTCTCTTATACCACTGAAGCAATTTCAATGAAACTTTAAAGGATTGATCTGTAGCTCAAGTACTTGGGCATATTACACTGGTTTTTTCGTTGAATGATTTTAGGCAGAGTTAAGGCCCTTTTAATAAAAAGGATGTTTTTGTGTGTTGCCAGCTTAACAGAATCTTGTCCGAACTACTTCTTAGAAACTACTAGTGCAATTTCATCCAAACTTTAAAGGAATGATCAATACCAAGTCTAGTTGTGCATTTCATTGGCTTTTTAGCTCACCTGACCACAAAGTGGTAAAGGTGAGGTACAGTGATGAGGCTATGTCTGGCGTCGTTCGTCGTCAACAATTGGGTTGTTAACAGTCTAGCAGTCACAGTTTTGATTGGATCATCATCAAACTTTGTCAGAATGTTTGTCTCAATGATATACAAATCAAGTTCTAAGATGGCTTATCTCGGGTCAAAAACTAGGTCACAGGAGCTAAAAATAGGAAAAGCTTGTTAACACTCTAATGGCTGCAGTTTTGATCCAAATATTCTGGAAATTTGTCAGGAAGGTTGTTTTGATGATTTCTAGGTCAAGTTCGAAGATGGGTCATCTCCGGTCATAAACTAGGTCACAAGAGCTAAAAATAGAAAAAAGCTTCTTAACACTAGTGGCTGCAGTTTTGATCCAAATTTCCTGGAAATTGGTCAGGAAGGTTGTTTTGATGACTTCTAAGTCGAGTTTGAATATGGGTCGTCTCCGGTCAAAAACTAGGTCACATTGTCCAAATATGGAAAAAACTTTTTAACAAGAAAAATCTTGTTAACACTCTAACTTGTTAACACTCTGCAGTTTTGATTAAATTATTCTGGAAATTTGTCAGGAAGGTTGTTTTGATGATTTCTAGGTCAAGTTCGAAGATGGGTCATGTCCGGTCAAAAACTAGGTCACAAGAGCTAAAAATAGAAAAAAAGCTTCTTAACACTAGTGGCTGCAGTTTTGATCCAAATTTCCTGGAAGTTGGTCAGGAAGGTTGTTTTGATGACTTCTAAGTCGAGTTTGAATATGGGTCGTCTCTGGTCAAAAACTAGGTCACATGGAAAAACCTTTTTAACTCGCTAGAGGTCACATTTTGACTCAATTGTCATCAAAGTTGGCCAGGATGCTTGTCTAAGACATTGCTTGGATGTGTTTGATGGATCTAGGGCCATCATGGCCCTCTTGTTGTTTTTTTTGGTTCAATAATTTTTAGTAGTGTTATAGCCCTTGTTATTTTTATTTTCCAAATTTGTCTGGACTACTCCTCTCATACTACTTATTCAATTTAATTGAAACTTTACAGAATTGCTTGGTAGCTGAGTACTTGTGCATTGTACACAGGTTTTCTGCTTTAATCCACTGTGAAAATCCAAAAGCACTAGAGCTTAGATATTTGGCATAAAACATCATCTAGTGGATGTTTACCAAGTTTGTTCAATAAAAGCTCTGGGGTCAAAATTGAAAATCCAAAGTGACAGACTGAACTGTTTAATAAACTGACTGCCAGAGCTAACAACATCTAAACCACTGGTTCAATTTTGAAATAATTTTACACAACAATTTCCTTGGTGACAGTGTACAAAAATTGTTCAGATTAAGCTGACCCTTTTTAGCTCCCCTGTCACAAAGTGAACTTCCACAACATCTCCTCATAAACCGCTAAGCCAATTTCATCCAAACTTCACAGGAATGGTACTAATTGGTGGTCACCTTTAAAAATTATTCAAAGAATTTAATTCCATGCAGAACTCTGGTTGCCATGGCAACCGATACAAAAAACTTAAAATATCTTCTTTTACAAAACCAAAGAGGTAGAGCTTAGATATTTGGCATGAAACATCTTCTAGTGAGTGTCTATCAAGTTAACCGCCTCCGTGGTCGAGGGGTTAGAGTCGATGACTTCTAATCCACTTACATCTCTGGCGTTGGTTCGATCCCGGGAGATGCTTTGGTAGTTTTTAGCACGGAGGAAGGTAATCTAGTACTGGTGTAACTCTCCAGGAGCGATGGTTAGGAAACTACCCGCCTTTATGACTGAAATACTGTTGGGAAAAGGCATTAAATGAAACAAACAAACAAATCTATCAAGTTTGTTCAAATAGAAGTCCTGGGGTCAAAATTGGCCCCGCCCCAAGGGGTCATTGATTTTCCTTAACTGTATCAAGTAAAAACTTAGAAAATCTTTTTTTTAAAAGACCCAAAGAGTTAGAGCCTATTTATTAAGCATGAAACATCTTCTGGCGAGTGTCTACCAAGTTTGTTCAAATAAAAGCCCTGGGATCAAAATTGACCCCGCCCCGGGGGGTACTGATTTTCCTTATATGTCTATAGTAAAAACTTCAAAAATCTTCTTTTAAATAACCCATAGAATTAGAGCTTAGATATAAAGCATGAAATATCTTTTAGTGAGTGTCAACCAAATTTGTTCAAATAAAAGCCCCAGGGTTAAATTGGCCTCGCCCCAGGGGTCTGATTTTCCTTATATGTCTATAGTAAAAGCTTAAAAAATCTTCTTTTAAAGCCCCAAAGAGCTAGAGCTTAGATATTTATCATGAAACATCTTCTAATGGGTGTCTACCAAGCTGGTTAAAAAAAAAAGCCGTAGGTTAAAATTAGTCCTGCCCCAAGGGCCTATATACAGGTGAGCGATTTCAAGGCCATCATGGCCCTCTTGTTTCAAATTGTGCTTCTGTGGTGAAAAGATGCACTAGTTTAGCCTTTTGAACTATTTCTCAGTTAAACGATCCGGGGTCCTCTGTGGCCTCTTGTTTTGACAAGTGTCATTAGCTTGACTTAAAAAGTAGAGGTATTGTTACAGTCCTGGCGGCTTTGCTGTTGCAATCCGAATACTTGTACCTTGATCATAACTTTTTAACTTCTTGGTGTATTGTATTCATACTTGACCACAACAACCCTTGGGACAAGACCTTACATTAGACCAGACTAACCTTGACCTTCATCCATAAATGGCCTTGACCTTCAAGGTCAAATGTCCAAATTTTGCTTGTTCTTGCTATTATTGGCTATAACTTTGTTATTTTTGAATGGATTGTCTTCAAACTTGAACATAATAATCTTCAAGGATAGCCCTTTTATTAACCTGACAGAATTTGACCTTCACTCATAAATGACCTTGACTTTGAAGGTCAAAATACTGAAATTTTCATTTTTTTTTT